TCACTGGCCAGGATTCCTCGGCAGGGCAAAGATGGCATTCCAGGTAGAGGAGGTGAGTGATACTCCACAAGAACCACTGGAGCTGCTCCGGCAGGAAGTCCAACTGCCACGGATTCACCAGAAGTCCAGAACACTTACTCCACTTGATCCTCATGGAGGACGCCACAGAGTAGACCATCTGGCACTTGCGCCTCTTCTGTAAGTCAGCCGCTTCCACAAACGTGAGGAGCATGTCATTGGCATAAACTGAAAGGACCACCCCAGTTCCTTCACAGAACCCGAGACGACAGCCACCTCCGCAAGAGGCACAGGAATGGCTCCACACAAGGAGAATGCAATTGGCTGGACAGGGAGGGTGACCCTGATGCATTCCCCTCCCGAAGCACACGGGTGCCATCAGGGACCTGGTTACCTTCCCTAGACACTCCAGAGCAGTGTACAGAAGTTGAATCTGGGCGACAAAGTGCGTCCCGAACCCGAAAGCTCACAGAGGCCCAAGTAGACACTTGTGATCCACTCTGTCGAATGCCTTTTCCTGATCAAGGGAGAGAAAGGGCACTCAGCAGTCCAGCCCTCTGGGAATGAAGGGTCACATCCAAGTCGGTTTAATGTTCTTATGAATGCTGCAGCCTGGGACTAGTAAGTATGATATGGGTAGATTACGTGGTCCAGCATAGTACTGAAGTGAGACGAAAGTGCCATGGCCAAGATTTTGTAGTCCATGCTAAGGAGGGAGACCAGACACCAGCTCTTTAATAAGTGGAGATGCCCCTTTTTAGGCAACAGAGTAATGACAGCCCTCTGCCAACAAGGGCGTATTTCTCCAGTCATGATATATTCCTCGATGACCCACATGTAGTCATCCCCAAGGACATCCTGGGATGCCCTGAGGAACTGCAGGGTCAGCCAGTCCAGATGTGGGGACTTGCCCCTGGAGAGATAGTCATCCCCTGTAGGCTCAGAGGGGTGTTGAGCCTCTCCCCACCCTCCAGGCTGACCTGTGACAGGTCCTACCACAGAACTTTGTGAGCTTCCTCACTGGATGGATCTGGAAAGAAAAGCATGGGAATAGAAGTCGTTTACTTGGACTCTGATACTCTCCAGATCCAAGATGTGGAATCTGTTGTCGGCAAGCAGCACGAGGGACCTTAGTTCCAACAAATAGAAGAGAGGGAGCCACGGTCTAGTTCTTGAGAAATTGCATCTGCAACCTCACATACGCACCCCAGGACTCAACAAGATGCAGGTCTCGGAGTATGTCCTTCTTCTCTTCATACGGTCTCAATAGGAACCGGTCCACATTGGGCTCTCCAGATTGAGCATCTCCTTCTCCAACTCTTTGCATCTGGATTTCCGCCCCTTTGACCACCACGCATACTGCTGGTAGAAGACATGAGTGTGAGTTCTCCCCGTGCCTGCCTAGGTTGCCATTGTGTGCTCCGGTTCCTCCCACGTTCCACATTCAGGTTAGGTGGATTGGCCATAGTAAATGCGGGGTTACGGGATGGGGAGGGAGGGTGGGATGCTCTTGGGAGGATTTGTGCAGACTCAATGGGCCAAAAAACTTCTCTCTGCATTGTAGGAATTCTAATGATTCTATGAGACTTGCCCACGTTAAAGCCTAAAGGAGGCAAAGCCCTCTCAGCTTCCTTCTCCAGCTGGCCTGGAAGTGTCAGAACAAGTCCTGGAACTGCTTGTCCTCCAACGGCAGGTTGTGCCAGTATGCCAACCTCCCGCTCATGCAGAAGGGAACACGCGCCTCCCACATCAGGTTGTGATCGATGAATGGCACCTGCCACATGGAGGCCATCGGACGCCGGAGACGTATGACCTCACAATGTAAAGGTGGTCAATCCTGGATAGTCTGACTCCAGACTTGAGATTCTGCCAAATGTCTACTGAGTCAAATGACTTGACCAAGTCCCTCAACTTCCCCACTGATACCGCATTATTCTGAGCACCTTTACAGACTATCCCCTTGAGAGGACAATTAAAATCTTGCCCCAAGGAGAATGATTTTTGCCCTCATCGATGGAGCTGTGTTAGACAATTGGAAGAAGCGTGTCTGCTCTGGTCTCAGCTAAGGCATGTATGTGTTCACAAAGTGAAGCAGCGTGCCCCCCAATCTAAGCGGTGAGGTGGAGTAAACAGCTTGGCACATGCTCCTTGACCCTCTGGTTCCCAAGTTGAAAACATGGTGCCATTAAGACTGCCACTCTGCCAGAGCATAATAGAATGGGTTTCCTGCAGGAGACACCGCATACTCTCATTACCTGAGGAACGTGAAGTTACGAAACCTGCACTGTGCCTCTCTGCTGGCATTGATGTTGAGGCTAGCTGTGGACATCTTCCTAACAAAAATATTGTACCACCGTCACCATGTTTACATCTGTTGGGTGGGTCCTACCCTGCGGGTGCTCTTGCCCCACCCTCAGCAGCGACTGTGGTATTAATAGCCAGCACAGCTCCCTCCTGCAGGAGGCTCTGTAAGGGGAGGGTCAGCGGCGCCACCCATGGTCGCTCAGCTGGATGCAGCAGCCTTGGAGACGGGAGAGTTCCTTCTAAGGTGCTGCACCTGTTCACAAGCACAGCACCACGCCCGTCCGTTGACCAGAACACACGGTAAGCAGCTCCCTCTTGTTCCACTGAGAACGCACCCTCTGGGATCTCCTCCTGGGTCAGGCACATAAACACCTGGCACCAGAAGGAGTCGATGTGGTGAAAGTGTGCATTGTGAAGACCAAGCAGTATGGGTGCCACTCCTGATCTCGCTGCCCCCATGCTTGCAGATGTGGGGAGAAGGGAATGGAACAAAGGGTGAGGCATTCAACAAAACGTCAATCAAAACCTCTGGAGGGCTAGTTGATAAGAATATCCCACCTACGGTGAGCCTCTCCTCCAGAATGAGGTACCTCGCCCGCTTGGTCCTCAAATAGAACACTGTCTTCCTGTACATTTCGAATTCAGCGATTGATGGCAGGAGCACTGATTACTCCCACCATGGCTGCTGTACTTGTTTTGGTTGCTATTTCGGGGTGAGTGTTGCACTTCACCCCATGCTATTTGGTTACGAGTGAGAAAGGCAATGGGGCCCACCACCAAGGCATAGGGGTCGCAGAAGATCAAGAACGGCTGGGCCTTGTCACTGATGTTGGCGTTCATTGTCCTGATGTTGCCATCCCTCCAAAGGACCACCCCACCCCATTTTCCAAAAAATGAGAGACTTTTATGCAACACTGCCTCCCAACATCCATGCCTTCAGGCAGCGTTCAAACAAAAGCAGAAATTGCTGGAAAAGCTGAGCAGGTCTGGCAGCATCTGCAGAGAGAAAACAGAGCTAACGTTTCAGGTGGAGTGACCTTGCCTCAGAACCTTCAGGCAGCATTGCCTGCCAATTTCCAGGTTTTCAGGCAACACTGCATTCACAATCTCCAGGCCTCAAACAGTGCTTTGAAGGCGGTGTGCCCCCGTCAGCAGCAGCAGTCAAGGGCCACACGCCCTAGGCCCCAGTGAGTAGTGCCCGCCACAGGTGAGGCTCCAGGTTCCAACACCAGCAGGGTAAAGCTAATTCTGGGCCAAAGGCTTTGGTTCTGATGTTTCAAGAGTTTAAAAGGCAGTAATTGCATTTTGCCACACAACGCTATTGGAAAACTTAACAGAATAATAGATTGTTAACCACTGCTAGTGAACTGTTCCAATATAGTAACATTCCATAAACACACAAAAGTCTAGTGATAATACCAGTCGGCCATCACCTTCCAAAACATGAGTACGCATTACAGCAAATGATTAGGAAAGCAAATAAAGTTGCTGTTTATGACAGGGGAACACAGTATAAAAGTAGGGAAGTTTTGCTGTAGTTGTACAGGGCATTGCTGAGACCGCATCTGAAGTACTATGTACAGTTTCACACATTCTGTGAGAAAGGATATGAAGTAATCGCTAGAGAAGTTTATTTGACTGATTCTTGGGACAAGGGGGTTACCTTGTAAGGTTAGAATCATAGAGCTGTACAACACCCTTTGGTCCAACCCATCCACGCCAACCAGATATCCCAAACTCATCTTGTCCTATTTGCCAGCATATTGTCCATATCCCTCCAACCCTTCCCACTCATACCCATCCTGTATTTAACAAGAATTGCTATTTATTACAAGTAAATAGACATGTAAACAATTAAAAATCATCGACATAATTATGCTAAATAAAATGTAAATTCTCTTATTAACTCTCTGTTACACATGCACATGGACAGGAAAAATAAAATGAGTGTCATGGATGGATGGAAAACTGGGAACGCAATTCAATCAGTGATCTATGTTTATTGGATCAACTGAGGTGATTCTTATGCACATCAGAATGCTGCTTTTACTGGTTGCAGGAGGTCCAGGTTGAATAGTGCACACTTGTAAAAGATCTTTGACTTATTTATTAATTTACAGCAATTGTTGAAGAAATTATAACCTGGTTTTCTTGAGCATTCAAGTTGGTTATTCTACCAAAAACTGTCAGAGTTCTTGAGCTGGTAGAGGTTTGATGACTTCCTGTTTGGACCCCCAAGCTGTTCAGCTACCTTACAATGAATCACGTTGTTATTGACAGGTAGGAGACCCTTATTGTGGAAAACTGAGCACCAGTCTGCAGACAAATCAGCTACTTGTCGCTGGCCGAGTCTCCATTTGTATATTGTCCCTGCTGATCTGCAAACTACACTTTAACTACTGCTTGAACAAGGAACTGTGTAAAATGGCACTGACTGAGTGTCAGTGTTTTCAAAACTGCAGTAATCCACCAGCAATCCTTGATCTTTAAAACAGTTTTCCCTTTGCAGCCCACTATCAAAAGCACATAGAAATGAAAATACATGCTTTTCACGCCACACGTAAGAGACAACAGACCCTGGGCTTGCCAATGATCAGATGTCACAAAATTGAGTAGTAAAAGTAATCACTTTATTTGTTTCAATGTTTCTAATGGCTTCTTTTGCCTCTGCTGTGCAGGTAAATTCGTGGAGTGGCTCGATTGAGATCGGAGTGACTGCCTTGGATCCCAGTACGTTGGATTTCCCCAGCAGTGCCACTGGGCTGAAGGGTGGCTCCTGGATCATCTCGGGCTGCTCAGTGCTGCGGGATGGGCGCTCAGTGCTGGAGGAGTACGGCCAAGATCTGGACCAGCTGAGTGAGGGTGACAAAGTCGGCATTCAGAGGACTGCTGGGGGTGAGCTGCACCTGTGGGTGAATGGGCGAGACTGTGGGGTAGCAGCCTCAGGGCTGCCCCCACGGGTTTGGGGCGTGGTAGACCTGTACGGCAAGTGTACCCAGGTGACCGTGTTGGGCTGTGACACCATCTCTCGAAGGGAAGAAACACACAGAGCCACTGCCACCACCACCACCACCACTGATGAAGGTAACGGTTCATGTCTTTCCATCACTTGTAAAACAGATCCACTCATTTACCTCTCTGCACTCTGTGGGAACTTGCTATTAACAGGTTGCAGTCAAGCCGTTTCTGCACAGAGTACGTAGTCTGTTGTAGAGCACTGTGTGAGGATGTGGATTCTTGAAAGGGCTATATATGTACAACTCAGTTCTCATTTTTTAACTTTGAAAATTAAATTGCTAATAATAGCTTACTGGTAAATGAGATTCTAAAACCTCACATGAATGTGCTCCACTTCTAAATGTAGGAGAGCGATTTGCATTGTATGCACGGTACTTCCAGCAGAGAAGTGGACCATTCGGTCTGTCTGCTGGTGTTTCTGCTCACCACGACCCCCGAGCTGACTGTTTTTCACGCAAATGTTTCGTCTCCCTTCTAGGTGACGTCATCAATGCTGTGTAGCCTCCATTGAAGCGCTGTTGTTCGGTCCCACTCTGAATTTATATAGTACGGTCTAATGACCCCATCTGCATAGCACTACAGTACAAAGCCGGAAACAAGACAGACCCCCATGACAGAGCAGACTATACAAATTTAGGACAGGACAGAACAACAGTGCTTCAACGGAGGCTACACAGCACTGACGACATCATCTAGAAGGGAGATGAAACGTTTGCATGAAAACCAGTCAGCTCGGCAAACCAACCAACAACTCCAACCACGACCCGAGCTACAGATCTTCATTAAAACATTAAAGACCGAGGTCCGGTCATCCCTCGGCCTTCTTTAAAGAGCTCCTGGCCAGTTCAGCTTCTCCTGATTGGTAAAACCTGTCAGTTCCGACAATTTTTCATTGTCTTGATATCCTTTAAGTAATATGGTGATCAGATATATTCATGGTGCTCCGAATGTAGTTTGCGCAAGTTTAGTTTGAGAGGTGAGAGCATTAGGTTTAGGGTTTTGAAGGTGGGTTGGGGGTGTTCAATCTCAATTTGGTGGAATGAGTGGAGTTAAACAATGGAGACGACTTGCACAGACATAATTTGGATTTACTTAAATAAAGTGGTGGGGAGAGCTGATTGAATTCATCTTGGATAAATGATCAAGGAAATGATGTCCTCTGTTGGGGGGAAAAAAATCATAACATGAGAGTGCAATCTTGAAATATAGAACCAAGCTATTCATTTCCCAACATAGAGGATAGTACAAACCTGCCAAACCTCCCAAAGACTGGAGCTCAATTGATATTTTCTCCAGGTCAGTAGATTTTGTTGTTAGTTAGGATACTCAAGGGTATGAGTGAAGGCAGGTAATTGAAGTTGGAATACCGATCATGTGTGATCTAACCAAATGGCAGAACAGGCTCGCAGTGCTGAATGGCCTGTTATTCCACTATATTTTATGTCTACTTTCATTCCATTTTAGGGGAATAAAATGCTTTACCAAGCACCAAGGATTCCCTACATCCTCTTTACAATTGATTTCTTCCTAATGAATCAACAGCGACGTAGAATATAGCTCGGAGGAGGCCATTGAGCCTATCGCGTTAGTGCCATTTCTCTACCAGAGCAACTCATCCCGAGCCAGTTCCCCACAGCAGAACAATGTTTTGCTCTTCAGTCTAATTAGCCCATTTCCTTCCTCAAAGCCACACTTGACCTTGCTTTCACTACACCTTTGGACAGTGCATGCCTGACCCTAACTACTCCATGAGAGAGGTTCTCTCTGTGTCTCTGTCGCTTGTTTTACCATTCACCCTCTAGTTCTTGATTCCCCTTGCCCATGGGAAAAGTTTCTCTTTGTTGTATCCATCCAGACCGATCATGACTTTGTATACCTCTGTCAAATCTTATTTAAACATCCTGTCCTACGAGGAATAGGGTCCCAGCTTCTTCAATCTGTCCGCATAACTGAAGTTCTTCATCCACATCCTTCCTCGGGTGCTGCCCAGAATTGGACTCAGTATTCCAGTTGAAGCTGAAACAACATTTTACACTGATTTAGGCTGCAGATACTACTCCGAGGTGACACGAAGGGCACATTTGTGCAAAGAGGATCCCATTGTCATTCTAAAGTGAAGGAAACCAACAATCAGTCTTGAAGGCAATGCTACCAGAATTTTGTGTGATCCAGGACTCAGTAACCTGAATGATATCCCACACAGTGTGAGTAATGGGGTCAGACTGCAAGGCTTTTGAAGGATGGCTGCAGAAGAGAATAATAGAATCATAGAATCCCTACAGTGTGGAAACAGGCCAATTGGCCCAACAAGTCCACACCACCCCTCTGAAGAGCATCCCATCCAAACCCACCCCCTATCCTTTCCCTATAACCTTGCATTTCCCATGGCTAATCCACCTAACTTACACACTCCTGGACACTACGGGCAATTTAACATGGCCAACCCACCTAACCTGCACATCTTTGGACTGTGGGAGTAAACCAGAGCACCTGGAGGAAACCCACACAGACACAGGGAGAATGTGCAAAATCCACACAGTTGCCTGAGGGTGGAATTGAACTCGGGTCCCTAGCACTGGGAGGCATCAATGCTAACCACTGAGCCACCGTGTCACCCCATTGCAGTGGCACAGTTCCACAGATAGCCTGGACCCTAGATCAGGAGGTGGCTTAGGGTTCACCTGAAAAAACATGCGCTGCAGTGGCTGCAGCTCGTGGGCATCACCCAGCTCTGTGAAGGGCCTTAATATGGACCAAAGCCAGGCAGAAAGGATTAGTTTAATTTGGCATCATGTTCAGCACAACATCCTGGGCTGAAAGACCAGTTCCTGTGCTGTACTGTTCTATTTTCTATTAGAGTTTCAGGAGCAGAATGGTAGCAGAGCTGTTGAAAGAGAGGATAGTCTGTGTGGCTTTTAAGGAGTGAGGGAAGCAGACAGCTAAATGGGAGATTGGGGTATCACCAGTTCATGTCTACCAATACATGGTGAAACCAACTTTGGAGGGAAGGGGCATCCATGAAGAGTTACAGAATGCTGTAGACACAGGAAGGAGAGGTAATAAAGTTGCTTTAACCATGAAGATCACCTCTTTAAGTTAGAGCATCAGACACTAAGAGCCAGTGCGGGTCAATGGATGACGGAAGAGTGAATGAACCAGGCTTGGTGTGACTTGGCATGCAGAGGGCAGTCATGTAGTGCTGACCAAGAGGAAGCACGAGGGCCATGAGCAGCAGAATTGTATTCAACCACAGCTGCAAACTCGTGCATATCACCACTGTACCACTACCATAAAGCCTGGTTCGATGAAGAGTTTGTACCAGGTGCAATACTAGATATTTCTGAGAATAAGGCTTCAATCTGAAGTTACAATGTAAGACTACAACTGAAGGGTCAATTCCAAGATGTACAATTGTGCTACATCCAGTAGTGGGCAATTAAGAAGGGAACAAGTAGAAGCGGCTCCGCAAGAGTGCCCCTCTTCAATGATTAGGGATACCCAACACATCAGAGCAAAAAAAAAGGCTGAGGTATTTGCACTCAATTGCAGCCAATGATCCATTTTAGCTCCAGAGATCCCACATGTCACAGATTTCAGTCCTCAACTACATGAGATGGGACAGCAACTGAAGGCAGTGGATTCCTCAAAAGTGATAGGGTCTGACAATATTTCGCAACAATACTGAAGATCTGTAGTCGAGAGCTGGCATCTATCCATGTTGTTCCAGTGCAGGTAAAACACTGGCATCTACTTAGCATTATGTAAATTTGTCTCGGTATGTACAGTCCCCCAAAAAGTGGAACAAATCAATCCTGACCAATTACACCTCATCAGTCTACTTAGCCATCTGTACTGTGTTGTTAACAGTGCCATCAAACAATTCTCAACAATAATCTTCTTTATTCATTCACGGGATGAGGGTGTCGCTGGCTAGGCAGCATTTAATACCTATCCTTAATTGCCCAGAGGGCAGTTAAGAGTCAACCACATTGCTGCAGGTCTGGAGTCACATATAGTGAACCAGATGGGTTTTCCTGACATTTGACAATGGATTCACGGTCATCTTTAGACTCTTAATTCCAGATATTTATTGAACTCAAATTACACCATCTGCCATGGCGGGATTCGAATCCGGGTCCCCAGAACGTTTTCTAGGTCTCTGGATTAACAGTCCAGTGATAATACCACTAGGCCATCGCCTCCCCACAAATAATCTGCTCACTGATGCTTAGTTTGGGTTCTTCCAGGGCCGCTAAGCTCATTAAAAACTTGTTCCAAACATGGACATAAGAGGTTAGGTGAGAGTTTCTGCTTTTGATAGCAAGATCACATTTGACTGAGCATGATATCAAGTAGCCCTAGCAAAACTGAAGTCAAGGGGAATGCGGGAGAAAACTGTTGGCTGGTTGGAGGCATACCTAACACAAATGGCTATGTAGTCAAACATCTCCATTCCAGAACATCACTGCAGGAGTTCCTCAAGATTTGTACAAGGCTCAATGATCTTCAACTGCTTCACCAATGACTTGCCCTCCACTTCAAGGCCAGAAATGAGGATGTTTGCTGATGATTGCTCAGTGTTCAGCACCACTTGTGGCTCCTCAGATACTGAAGCAGTCCATGTTCAAATGCAGCAAAACCTGGACAATTTACAGCAGCTGACAAGTGTAACAAGTGGCACATACATGTTACACAAGGGCAACACGTACATGGGACTATCACCACTTGAGGTTCTCCTAAAAGCTACATAACATCCTGACAAGAAACTATATCGCTGTTCCTTCAACTGTCACTGCGTTAAAATTGTGGAACTCCTTCCCTAGCTACGTTGTGGGTGTACCTACACTCAAAAGACTAGTAGTTCTTTCACTGTTGCTGAGTCAAAGTAAAACCATAAGACGTAGGAATGGAAGTAGTCCATTCAGTCCATCAAGTCTGCACCACCATTCAGTAAGATCATGGCTGATTGCATAATTCTCAATTCCACTTTCATGCTATTTCCCCATAACCCTGGAATCCCTTATTGATTAAAAATCTGTCTATCTCAGTCTTTAATAAACTACTCAGCATCTATAGTCCTCTGCTTTAAAGAGTTCCACAGATTCACTATGGTCTGAGAGAAAAAATTCCTTCTCATCTCTATCATAACTCAGCAACCCCTTATTCTGAGATTGTGTCCCCTGGCCCTTGTTTCCCCATGAAGGAGAGTCAATCTCTCCGCATCTACCCTGTCAAGTCCCCTCAGAATCTTGGATGTTTCAATATGGTTGCCTCTCATTCTCCTAAACTCCAATGAATACAGGCCAACCTTCTCAACCTCTCCTCGTAAGACAATCTTTCCATGCCCAAATCAACCTTGTGAACATTCTTTGGACTGCCTGCAATGCCAGTGTATCTTTCCTTGGGTAAGGGACCAAAACTATTTACAGTATTCCATGTATGATCTAAGTAGTGTCATATTATCCAGACTTCCCAATTTTCATATTCCATTTCCTTTGAAGTAAAGGCCACATTCCATTTGCCTTCCATATTACTTGCTAAACTTACCAATATTTTATAATTACTTGTTCAGAAATGACATTACATACTCCTGGAGCAGGTAGAGCTTAAACCTGGACCTCCTGTCCCAGAGGTAGGGACACTACCATTGTACCACAAGAGCCCGTTGCTGATGAGCTGGTATGCTTACATCCACCACCTCCTCTTTATCTGTCCTGCTTGTTACCTCTTCAGAGAATTCTAATAAATTTGTACAGCATGATTTCCCCTTCATCAAGACATGCTAACTGTGCTTGATTATGTTATGTGTTTCTGATTGATCTTATGTTACGTTCTTTATAGACTGTGTAACATTTTCCCAACAACAAATTTTAAGCTAGCTGGCTTTAGTATATTTTTTTGTTGTTTGGTCTCTCGCCTTGTTGAGTGAAGATGTTACATTTGGCAATTTTCTGGTCCTCTGCCACGCTCCTAGAATCTAAGCAAACTTGGAAGATTACGACCAATGCATCTATTATCTCTGTGCAGGAGGACATTCAGCCCATGGTGCCTGGGATAGCTATTAACAAATAATGTTCAATTAGTCTCATAGCACTACTCCTTCCCAGTTGCCCTACTTTTCTTTTGTGGATTTTTTTCCAAATCTCCTTTCCAAGTGTTCCTATCAAATCTTCTTCCAGCCTTTCTGATTACAACAACTTGCTGTGGTTAAGAGAAAAGTGTTGTTATGGCCCACTTGGAAAAGTGCACTGATTCCCAAGCCCCATGACTCCCGATGTGGCCATAAACATTAATGATTTAATCAAAGTATATAAATCCCCAGTTTACCTGTCCGACGTAATCAAGTAAACAGTAATCATGGACCAGGTTCCTGTACTCAACAGGAATTCCTATTTTTTTCCAAGCAAACTAATACTAACCATAGACAAAACAAAACTGTGAATTATCAACATATACCTGTACCAGTGATATGCTTCAGTACTTTTACTGCAGACAGAGAGAGAGAGAGAGAGAGAGCGCGATTGCTTCTTCCAGTCTGTGAACTTCCTTCATGTATTGTTCTCAACCAGTGAGAGAGTTGTCTTTAGGCTGATATCCTCTGGCATCCACAACCAGTCACAATTGTGCAAACTAATCAGCTACCTGTCGCTGGCTGAATCTCACTCTGTTCACAACCTGGTCTCAAACCGTCTTATCTTGCCTGCTTGAACAAAGGAGCTCATAAATACAACTCTCAATAAGTTTCAGCAGCTTGTTTTCCAACATCTGGCAATTTCGTCCACAGTACTTGATTTTAAAACAGCCATTTTCCCATTTCAATCCTCAATCAAAAATAAAGTAAAATGATACATTGTGGTCTTTATAGTGGAATATGTGAAAATGGAGTGAATAGAGGCTGAACTCCTGTGGAGATGAACTGGGGAGTATGAGGGGAGATGAGACTGGAAGTAGAAAGATGTGGAATCAAAGGGACTTGGAAGGAGAATCTTTAGTTGTTGGGGAATGGTAGGCATAATCCTAATGTATAGTACAAGTGTCACTCAGTTACTGGAACTGGTGAGTGTGGAGAGGGCAGTGAGGAATTTTTTCAGCAGACAGTCAGCAGCTGGATGTTGGAGGACAGGAAGTTTGTTTTGATACAAGAATGTGAGGCTGTGTTGCTTGATATGGTTCAGCCTGGTCTAGAGGTGCAAAGATAAACCAGTTCTGTTTTGACATGTTCCCAAGGGAGGGAGTGTAGATAGCACTGTATGGGAGGATAAGATATGCTTAAAAGGGAAGGAATGAAACTGCTGTTCAGCAGTGCAGAAGGCATCTGGTTTAAACTCAACACTTGGTGGTAGATTGAATTTTTAACATTTCATTATTAGGTGACTGCTTATAACATTTTGCCCACTCTGTCTTCCCACCCACACCTGCTGTAACTGTTTTCCCTCTGTGCTTTGCCTTTGCTCTCCTCCTTTCCCTTCCCCCTCTCGCTTCTTCCTCCCTCCCCTTCCCCCTTTCCACCGCTCTCTCTTTCCCCTTTCTACCTCTCTATCTCTTCACTTTCCACTTGTCTCTCTCTTCCCCCTTTCCCTCCCTCTCTCCCCCACTTTCCCTCCCTCTTTGCTACTCCTCTCATCCTCCCCCACTTTCCTCTCCCTTGCTCCCCATATTCCCTCATCTTTCCTCCTCTCTCCCCCGCCCCCATCATTTTCTCCCTCTTGCCTGTCCATTTGATGCCTCAACCCTTCGCTCTCTTGCACCACATTCCTCCCCTTCCTCTCCAGGTTTTGTGGGGATGGAGCTGTCGGATGTTGTGAACAATGCCATTCTCTCAGCGTACAGTGGTAGCTTGCTGAACGTCAGCCTGGGCAGCCCGCTGGATGGCAGCTGCTCGGTCACCTCCAACGATGCCCTTCTCTTCCACGAGAAGTGTGGCACGCTCATCAAGCTCAGCAACAACAACAAGACAGCCGAGCGTCGCCGCCCGCTTGACGAGTTCAACAACGGCGTCGTCATGACCAACCGCCCATTGAGGGACAATGAGATGTTTGAGGTGAGCAGTGGTAACTGAATTAGGTGCCTAGTAATAGCTCGTGTTAATTGATCCCTGCATTTTAACTGATCTTTTCCTCCCCTCTCCATCTTGCCATCCCACCCACATGGCCTCCAGTGCTTTGCTCAGAACTGACTTCACAAGTCAAACCGTGTCCACCCTCCTGCTTGTCACGGTCTGTATGTGGCTATTGTTGCCGTGCTTTGACCTTGTGATCTTGGAATGTTAGTGTTGAGTCTTCTTGATCTGAAGTAGTTCAGTATAACTGAGGGCAGGAAGCTCATCCCCATTGATAAGGCCACAGGACCTATTTACAAACCCAGAGCAAATAAAGACATAAGTTTCCTCTGTACAGGGCAACTTGTCAATCTGTTGGTTATTGCCGCAAACCTACATTCTCACACTTTGCTTCACTGATACCAGCTTCTGATTTCTGCCATTTTCTTTTAAATAAATTCATTTTCCTAACTGCAGAATGCGATTTTCAACTCCTGTTCTGTGGATAACTGGTCTAGTAAGAGGACCAGTGTGTTCGTCCTCTTCCCCAGATAGTTTTTGCATGTGCAACCCCAACAGTTGGCAGGTTTTCTGTAGTTAACTGACACAAGAGGCTGGAGATCAAATAATTAGACAATAATGATCAATATCTGCACACTATTGGCCGTTGGGGTAATTGTTACGATGCTGGGCCAGACTTGTAACTTTGTTTTCATCTGACCAGTAATTTATTTTAAAAGGTGACAAAAGTGTTAGATTCCATGGACTTATTAAGAGAGTACAGGCACAAGATTCAATGGTTTTTCTATACAAAGTTAGAACAGGAATACAATCTACAATATGTGTACAATTTGTTTTCTAACATCCAGAATTAACACAAGTCAAATACAGGTAACAATTTGTGATCAAATATTCAACTTAGTGCAAATGCAAATCCCGTGGATTTCTCGACAATGCCTCCCCCTCTCCCCAACCCCAAATGTCAGTGACACAGTGGATAATCAGTTCTTGGTCAAACTTTGCAAAGCATTCCAATTTATCACTTTTGACGAACTGGCCTTCAAGCTCGTTCCCCATGATGGACAGCCTGACAGATAACTCACATTCTTGTATTTCATGTCCTTTTCTGGGGGTCTGCCGTCCCCTGGATTCTGGACACTGCACTCCAGCACTTAGTCACACATGCATTTTCAGCTTTTCACTGTCTGCCAGGTTCACCATGCTAGTATTGCACCTTGACTTTCCCCCTAAACTCTATTCTTATTCAGTTGCATCGAGCAAATATTATTTGTGGGCTTTTTAAAACCCAGTCTCAGCTGTGCTGAATTATTTGCAAGCTTTCCTAAACTCCTCTGTCTTCCAGGACTTTCTGAACTCTTAACCGAATGGATCCACCCAATTGATTTTGGGACTTCTCATTGAGTCCCCTACACAGAACCAGTGTAGGTCATTTTGCCTTTCTGGCATTGCAGCAAAAGGCAGCACTGTTCCTGTCTGGAGCTTGCTTCCTCTCCCTTTCTCTCTGTGTCTTCCATATGCGTTTGTTTTTTAACTGCCTTTCACAATTGAAACTGCTTTTCAATGGCTGTTGAAAATGTTGCACCGGCACAGTGGTTGAGTGGTTAGCACTGGTGCCTAACAGTACCAGGGGCCCAAGTTCAATTCCAGCCCTGGGTGGACTGTCTATGCAGAGTTTGCACGTTCTCCCTGTGTCTGTGTCGGGGTCCTCTGGTTTCCTCCCACAGTCCAGAGATGTGTGAGTTAGGTGAATTGGCCACGCTAAATTGTCTGCACTGTCCAGATGTGGATTAGCCATGCTAAATGTGGGATTACGGGGATAGAGCGTAAGGCTGGGACAGGATGGGATGCTGTTCAGAGAGTCGGTGCTGACTCAATGGGCCAAATGGCTTCTTTCCACTGTGTAGGAGTTCTGTGATTCTATGATAAGGCTGCCTTGTTCCTGGACAGTATTAAAGGTAACTAATATTTTGAAACAGTCAAATTTAGGGTCCCTTTGGAACTGTCTTCCCTAAATGTTGCCATTTTCACAGGTTGGCATACAATGTAGAAGTTGTGTACAACAAACATGGTTTTCATTACAGAATATGTGCACCCCAGTGCAACAACTTATTTGTTTCATGTCTTTCACATGAACATTCAAAAACTAAATTTGACCAACTCTCATAAGGAGATGGTAGGTGAAATCCCTGGAGAGATTACAAAGGAGATTTACTAGAATAATACCAGCAATGAAGGATTTTGGGTACAAGGAAAGATTAGAGAAATTGGGCTTATTCTGCTTGGAGCAGGCAAGATAACCTCAGTTCTGAGGAAGGGTCACCGGACCCAAAACGTTAACTCTGATTTTTTTCTTCACAGATGCTGCCAGACCTGCTGAGCTTTTCCAGCAACTTTGTTTTTGTTCCTGATTTACAGCATCCACAGTTCTTTCAGTTTTTATTAAGATAGCAAGGTGACCTTATTGAGGTGTTCAAAATTATGAAGATTTGGACAGAGTAAAGAAGGATATTCTGTCTTCATTAGTTGTTATGTTCGAACTAGGGGTCACAATTTCAAGATTGTTGGCAACAGGGCTAGAAATGAGATGAGAAATTTCTTTCCTCAGAGAGTTGTTAGGATTTGGAATGCACTGCCTGGGAGAATGGTAGAGGCGAATTCCATAGGAAGTTTCAAATGAGAGCTGGATGTGTATTTGGAAGTGATGAATTAAGAGGACTACAGAGATAAAGTTAGAGAATGGGACTAGCTGGATAATTCTTTCAGGAGCTGGTACGGACCCAATGGGTCGAATGGCCTTTACTGTAAATTCTAAGATTCTATGACATAAAGCTTCATCAATGAGATTGTGTTTACAGGAGCATCTTAAAGGTGGAAATTGAACTGGGGGTCAAAGAGGTTTAGGGAGGGCATTCCAAAGCTTTTGGCCCAAACAGTTGATCACATGGCTGTCAGTGATGGAGCAAGAGGAAATGGAGGATGTTTAAGAGGCCAGAATTAGAAGGGCAGAAAGATCTCTCTGAATTGGAAGGCTGAAGGAGGTTTCAGGATAGCAGAATGAGAGACCACACAGGAATTTTAAAACAAGGATGAGAATTTTAAAATTATGGGGTGGGTGGGTAGAATAGGCCTTCAGGACTTGGTGCAATTTAAGGTGTGGATAGCAGAGTTTTTTTAGATGGTGTTAAGCTTACAGATGGGAGAATGTGGGAGACCAGCCATGAGAGCCTCTGAAAAGTCAAGTTCAGAGGTGATGTATTTTTCAGCAGCAGATGAACTGAAGCGGGAAATGCCGTATGATACTATGGAGGTGGCTGTAGGTGGTCTTAGTGGCACCGTGGATAACGGTCAGAAGCACATATGATTGTGAACAAACTGGTTTCATCTCGAGGCTGTTGCCTGGGGAATGGATATAGTCAGTGACTAGGAAATGAGTTTGGAGCAGGAACTGAAAACGTCATTTGAGTCTCACTGTCCAACTTAATGCTTTAGTGTTTATGACTGACACACTGAGATACTTCTGAAGAAGGGTCACTGGACCCGAAATTTCTGCTTTCTCTCCACAGCTGTTAGCAGACCTGCTGAGTTTTTCCAGCTATTTTTTATTTTTATTCTGATTTCCAGCATCTGCAGTTCTTTGGTTTTATTTTGAGATGCTTCGGTTAGGTACAATTTACTTTCTGGCTTGACTTAACTTTGAGGCTATTGATTCACAAGGATCAGTGCTAAGACCTCTTTTTCTGTAATACGTATATAAATCATTTGGATGAAAATATATGTAGTCTGATTAGTAAGTTTGCAGATGACCCAAAAATTGTTGGAGTTATGGATAATGAAGATACTTGTCAAAGGGTACAGCAGGATATCGATCAGTTGGAAAATTGGGCAGAGAAATGGCAACTGAAGTTTAATCTGGACAAATGTAAATGCATTTTGGCAGGTCAAATGCAAGAAGAAAGTGTACAGTAAGTGGCAGGACCCTTGGGAGCATTGATATACAGAGGGATCTTGGGATGCAGGGCTGTAGCTCCCTGAAAGTGGCAACACAAGTGGATAAGGTGGGTAATAGGCATACAGTACGTTTAATTGGTCGAGACACTGAGTTTAGAAATTGGCATGTCATGTTGCAGTTGTATAAAATTTTAGTTAGGCCACATTTGGGGCATTGTGTGCCGTTCTGGTCACCACACTACAGAAAGGATGTGGCAACTTTGGAGAGTGTGCAAAAGAGGTTACCAGGATGTTGCTTGGGTTAGAGTGTATCAACTATAAGGAGAGGTTGGACAAACTTGGATTGTTTTTGGTTGAGCACTGGACAATCTGATAGAAGTAAATAAAATTGAGAGGCATGGATAGGGTGGATAATCAGTGTGCTTTTCCTAGGATGAAGGTGCCAAATACTACGTGCCATAGGGTTAAGGTGAGAGGGGGGAATGTTTAAGGGAAATGTTGGGAGTTAAGTGTTTTACACAGAGTATGGTAGGTCCCTGGAATGCACTGCCAGGGGAAGTGGTAGAAACAGATACAGTAGCAAAGTTTGAGGCATTTAGGCAGATACATGACTGGCAGAGATGTGTACCATCTGCAGGCGGATTGGATTAGTTCACAATAGCATAATAGTTGGTGTAGATGTGGTGGGTTAAAGGGCATGTTCCTGCCCTGCACTGTACTGTTCTGTGTTCTATACGAGCAATCACGAGTAAAAAGGATCTTGCACAGAATTGGATTTAAGCTTGCAACATGGATGTGAAGGTAGAAGACAGAGTCAGGACAAATGCAGTTTTGCAATAAATGCAATATCTCCAGTAAATAGGATGTGACTAGTGATGCTGAAGGTTTTCTTATGGAGCCACCACTTCTCCCATGTTTATAATGAATTGGGAAGGGAAGAGGGAGTTGTGCAGCCAGGTTAGCAGCTGACATTGAATTGGAGGCAGGAGATCGAAAATTGTATAGATGGAAGCAGGAGACTCCATATGGACTTC